CGGGAAGAAAACCGCTGTTTTATGTCGGGGATGAGAAAGTGGCGAACGGGAATTGGAACAAGTCGTCTTCAGGGACTGAATGAAGTGCTTCGTGCAGTTCAAAGCACGTTTTTCCTCAGCTCTTCGGAACACGGGCATCTCCTAAAAGACAGCCTTGCTCCTGACATGTAGGAAGGGATTTAAAATTTCCAGTACATGGGAAGATTCCAGACGCTTTTGTCCTGTCTGTTCCTCGGTACAAGCTCCAAACGGCTCGGCCTGACCTGCATCTTTTCTTTTTCCTCCAGCCAGCAAATAAAGTGGTGCTGTCTGCTGATGTTCCAAGGCTCCTCGCCCCTGTGCTGTGTTACTGTTCACAGTGCCTTTAACAGCGTTGGCTTTGGCAGACTTTGAGCTTGGCTCTCTCCTCCCACCAAGCCGCGTTAGTCTGAGGTCAGCGCTGAATGCGAGCTGGGGTGAGATGGTCAGGCCGGAGCTGGCAGGTCCTGCCTGTCAGTGATACCTGTGCTTGTCCTTTACGTGGGGTAGCAAAGAAGAATCCTGTGCGTGGAGAAGGTGGAAGTGTAGGGTCATCTGGCAAAGGGGTTTGGCAAGTAAGATGAAGGCTGAAAAAGGCCTTTCCTCTCTCTTCTGCAATGGTTAGCTCAGCGTAAGAGCAAAAGCGGCAAAATATCTTTCCCTGTTCCCCTGCTTCCCTCGTGCTGACACCAGCCTTTGTTTGGATGGGGGAACAGAGCTGGCTAAGGAAGAATCTGGTTTTGCTGGGTTTATTTGCTGTTGCCTGGTGTGATTCATCTCATACTCGCACAAGCACTTGGGGTAGAAATGAAGGAGCAGGGAGGGGGGAAAACTTGCTTCAGCAGCGTGACCACCTTAGTCTAAACGACCTGTGGATCTGTTTGGTATTATGAGATGGCAAAGCATGTGCTGGACTTGATTTCCTTCCCTTCCTAGCTCTAAAACATGTGACTTTTACTGGTGATACCCCTAGTGACTGACAAAGCATCTGGCGAGAGGCGCCGTAGCGGCTCCAACGTGCCAGGATGGTGCCTGCTGGGGTGTCCGGGAGAGCATTGCCTGTGGCTTCTTCCTCAGTGCTGAAGCATGAGACTGACTTGATCTGGCATGTGCTGAAGCTGGGTAGCAGGAAAAATGTTTTCAAGTCTGCTTGGCTAAATCATTTGATAGTGGTGGCTAAATCCTGATCAGTGGAGGCTGCTGTAGAAGGGTTGTATTGAGTTCCTGCAGCAAGCTGCCTGTCACAGTGATTATACTTCTTCAGGGGCAGAAGGACCTGGCATCCTCTGTGACTAATAAGCTCTTGCTGGCTAAGCCTGGGACCTCTGGGGTTAGAGGACAGTTTGAGGACCACCTGGTCCTGATTAAGGCCAACACAGTTCAGGTGAGCAAATGAAGAGTAGGAGCAGGTTGGTTTGCTACAAAGTGGTGGTGGGTTGTCGAAGTTGTGGTGGTAATTTTTGGGTCAGAATAGGAATGTGAGGGGAGAGTTGTTCCTTAAATGATAGTATAACTTTCTAAAAAACCTTGTGACACTGTATGTGGCACCCTGCGAAAGACCAAGTAGTGCTGATCTGGAGTGACAAGAGAAACTTGTGTCTGTGAGAAGATGGCTTGTAATCCACTTGCATTGGTAGTTGATGGAGGCTGAGCGAGTGGTCTGTGCAACTGTTCCATTTTTCCATCTGATCTGTTCTTAATCCCTATTGACGGGAGAGAGTTTTCATCCCCTCCCCAAGAAGCTCCACTTGATTGCTCTAATCATCTTGGTATTAGTTTTAGAAATCATGTATGCAGGGTGCTAAGTAGCTTCTTACTGCATCAGAGAGGTTGTCCTTAGTGCAACAAATACAAACTGCAGGGGTGCGGAGCTGCACCTCTCCCAGGAGGAAGGGTTCTTGTGAAAAGCTGTCTTGTCTGCAAGGGGTGCAGTTTGGGAACCTGAGGGATCCCTTCGTTGTACCTCTGCCCCTCTGGCTTTTGGCTCGAGCTCTGGGAAGGGTGTGGGCTCCCAGTTTGGAAGGGCTGTGTGTGCTTTATGTGGTCTGTGATCTTGGAGGTGCTTGCAAATGTTAATGAATTAAACCTCTCAACTTTGAGGGCTCTAGCCTGCCAGCTTCATTTGTGCTAAATAACAGCATACTTGCAGGGTGAGCTAGCAGAAAATGGCTTTCTGGCCTTTAAACAAGACACAGTTGAGTCAGGCAAGATGAGTTTCACACAGGATGTCCCCGTTGAACTGAGATTACAGCATTTCCAGCCACGGGATGATTGATGGTCTCCAGCACTACCACAGGGTCTTGCACTTCTGCAGCTCTGCTGTCTCTGAAGCCGCCACTGCCTGGAAATAATGATACTAGGGTCAAGTTCCTTTTATCTACCTGGTGTCTGAATTTCACTTGCTTTATAAATTCATGATATTTAGTGCTGTGTCTGAATTTCTTCTCAGTGGCTCTGGCATCCTGGTGCAAACTTTCACTGGCTTCTGGCTGCAGCACTGGGATGTGCAATGGGAGTAGCTGAAGGGCTGCAGCCTCAGTCACAACGTTGTGGTTTCCTTCACATGTTGTATCATACAGACCTGGCTTCTGTGCTGGCTGGGTGCTCAGGACCAGTGCTTCTGTGGCCGGGGAAGGGATTTTTTGGGAAAAAAAATGGGTATTGTTGGGAGGCAGTGGGAGCAGCAGTTGGCTCTCCTGCTGCCTGGCCTGGCTGAAATGCCATCCAGAACTGGAAAGAGAATACTGTGCCATCCTGCAAAGGGGAAAAACAATGGCTGCTTCTCTCCCATTGTTCATGATCTGGAGGGACTTGTGTCTCGTGGCTTGGCAGGGTAGCTGAGGTGACTGCAAGTTGATGGGATACACATCAGCCATTGGGAAAACCCTGGTTCTCTTTACCCTAGCGTGCGTATCCTGGTGGCTGATGTGCTCATCCTCCACCTTGGAGACAGGGAAGCACCTCCTTTGGAGGTCCAAACCTAACTCCTGTGGGTGAGGGTTGCTTCTGTGGGTTACAGCAAGGGCTGTGTCCCTCTTTACTTGTGTGTTCCCTGTGGGATTTGTCCTGCCCCACAGCTGGGTGAAGGCACGGGCCTCCGTTTTATGGGGAAGGGGGTGCTGTCCTCCTGGCTGCCAGGCAGCGGCCAGGCCTCTTGCTGGCTGGGGCTCCCGTTGCCTTGGCACATCATCTTGTGTATGTGCAATGTATACAGGACTGGTTTTCAGCCGCTCGATGCTCCTGGAACTCGATCCCTGTCTGTTGCATTGAGTGTAGTCCTGCCTGAAGTGCCAGGAGGGACAAGTGAATAATTCATCCAGACCAAAAGGGCTGGGGGTGGAAGGAACTTGTGAAACCAAGAAATTGCCTCTATTAAAGAGGTTGGGTGTGGAAACTGTGATTAAGAAATGTTAATGAACCTTGTTTGCAACTCCCACTTGTTTGGAGAGAATACCCGTGTGTGTGTATGGCTGTCTTCCCCGTGGTGCTGGGGGCCTGGCCATCTGTCTCCTTGCCACTTAAAATACATTTCTGTGTGCCAGCAATGTAGGAGTCTCTATTTTGGGGTTTTCTCCCTTCTCTGAGATGTATTTACTATTTGACTGTAATAACTAGCTACACATAGTAAATGCTGGCCTAGATCGTCTTGGGATAATTGCTGCTCACTCCCTGAAAGCAAACACACAATCCCTCCATTGTAGTGGAGAACTGGAGAGGGAAGTCTGTGGTAGAGGTGGCCCCGCACCACCTGATGCTGTTTTTCTTGTCAGTAATTGTTGACTTAAGTGTTTAATTCTCGAGTAGTGATGTTCCACTTTATGGTCTCCAAACTATTGCGAGGACGTCACACCTTGGCTGCAGGAAGACTGCAGCTGTGCATGAGTGCTGGAGCCAGGCAAGGTGACTGCAGCCACCCACAGGAGTTGCTGTCATGCAGAAGGCCTGAAGCTGTGCCTGGTGACTGCAGCCGTGCAAGAGGGCGGCTGCCCAAGTTGCTGGTTCCTGAATTTGGGTTTGCATTAATGTTTAATAAACTGGTTCTACGATTATGTGTGTGAGAATTTTGTGCTAAATTTTTTTTTTTTAGCTCTGCTGCTCATTTCAACACATGCTGACCCCATGTTTTGCAGTCTCACCCCTAAAATAAGGGATCTTGGGACAAGGCCCTAGCCCCTTTCCCGTGTGGTTACAGGCTCAGGAGCCACATAGAGGTGGGGATTAAATATGGATTGAGTGCCTGGCTTCTTAACATTCTTAGGCACAAGCAGATGTCTTATGGGATTTTTGAAAAATCCCATTATGCTGCCAGTCTATATCTTTAAGTGTCTTAATATAATCAAATATCTGGGTTCCAGGTGGTCCAGATACCATGTGCTCCCTGCCTAGCAAGTGTGCTGCTGACACACGACAGATGGGAAATTACATAGCTCAGGGTCCTTGTCTCCTTTTATCTTTCTCTCATGGTAGAGGAAACCAAAATTAAGAGTCTAAATGGCTTCTCAGGGATGTGTTAGGTACCAGTGCTGGGACTCTGCTTGTCTGAACTGTCTGTGTTAGAGAGGAGAAATGGGAAGTGTTGGCCTTTTGCACTGGACTTCCTGCCCATGTAGGGCAATGTTTGAGGGACGGTGGTGTCCAGGACAACGAGCCTGCTGTAACAGGGGCTTGCCCTGGGCTCCCTGCACTGGCAGGCATGGGTCTGGCTCAGTACACGGGTAGTCCCGATACCAGCAGGATGACTTTGCGCGATGCTTGAGTTCACGTGGGGCTTGAGCCATCTGTGCTGCTGCATTGCATTGCACTAAGCACATGCTGCTGCCCAAGTAAATCACTTATCTGCTCTGCAGGGAGCAGTAACTGTCTAATCTCTTTATCTTTTTCTGTGTCCAGCCCTCAGTGCCGCCAGTGCCAAACTACAAGCTCTCCATGTCGATCCCAGAATGGCTCCAGGCAATACAGACCTACATGAAGATGCTGCAGTATCCTTCTTCAGCACGTGGTCTCCAAACAGCAGGCTGGCATGTGCCCAGCATGAATTAATGGGGTTTACAGAAGCACTAGGTAGTCACAGAGGCTTGGGATCATTTGTGGGTTAAAGGATGCCTCTAAGGATTTGTGATAGCTCCTGCAGCACTGAACTTGTCATAGCAATCCTTTGGGAGGTGTAATTAATGCTAAATGATATTGAGGAATTTAACTGAAGTGACATTGGTGGGAGTAGAACTGCTTATTTTTAAGTTGTTTTAAAATGTTATGATTGGGTTGTGATGCCTAGAGCCATAATATGGCATCTCATTGTAAAGTGACTAAGGGAGAGCCAGCATTGTGGCAAACCCTTCCTCCCTTTACCCTGGCAAACCCCTGTGAGCTCCCTGAGGACTGCCTATGTGCTCAGCTTCCCGGGGGTGCTTGTCATTAGGGTGAGGAGTACAAGCAGCTATCCTGACCCCAGAGTGGACTGGCTTTCTTGTACAGGAACTGGCTAAAGGAATCTGCCTTTCCAGATGTCTTACTCTGCTTGGGAGAATTCAGCAGAGGTGTACACATCTAGACAGCCTCCCTGTCACTGCCCCATGCCTAGCACCTGCCTGTTTCCATTCTGGATGTAATGTCAGAGGCAGGGGGGTTGCTGGCCCAGTTACTGCTTTTCTGTTTTCCTTGTTTCTAAACTCTCCTTGGCGTGTGTGTGGGGAAGCAGTGGGGGTGAGGAATGAATGTAAAGTCCTGGGAAGGATTAAGAAAGGATATGGGTGGCAGCTGTAAGAGCATCCAAAAATAGCAGGCGTGGTTAAGCGTGCTGGAGAGCGGCGGCTGGGATAAAGCTGGCAGCCCCAGTTGGAGCTGCAGCAGCTGCTATGGGGAGGGAGGCTGGGGCCAGCCTGCTCTGCAGGGGGTGGCTCATTTCTCTGCTGCATGTCGGCCACTTGGGCAGGACAGGAGGCTCACTGCTTGGTGGGGTTGTGCTGGAGAGGAGACCATGTCACGCAGAGCTCCAAAAATGATATATATAATTTTTCCACCCCCCCAGAAGTCTCAAAATCTTGTGTGCTTCTACCTAGCAGGAGCAGGCCTTAGGCACAGAGTTTGGATCTGTTGTCAGAAAAGCTTTGAAGTGGGCTGGGAAACAGGGTCTGGGCTTCCTTTCAGGGCTGAAAGGCTGTTTGCTTTGTTGGGAGCACTCTGAAAGGGCCTCATGAATTAGGTTTTGAAGGCAAGAGGGAAGCAAGCCCCTGTTTCTGGAGAACTGTGAATTCTGATTTAAATCAGCTCAAGCATCCTGGTGCGAGCTAGAGTTTTTGCTTAGATCATGGTTATATGTCAAGCAGCTGTGCTGTTTATACCTCACAAGGTACCCTTTGCCTCCATGGGGTCACCTGTTTCTGCCCAGGTATCACCACCACAATTTTGCTGATATGAATGTTCTCGTGGCCATGTTGGGAACTAGGCTGGGGAATGGATTCAGCTGGAAAAATAACCTGGCAGAAGTGAGTGGATGGTGTGATTATTATCTTTATTTATTTATTTTATTTTTGTTGGTGGTGTTTGGTTGGTTTTGGTGGTTTTTTTTTTTTGTTTTACTGGATAGGTCAGTTTCCTAATGTGATTTACTACGTTGCTGCTTGAACAGCTATGCCCAGGGAGCAGGGAAGAGGCTGCTTTTGGTGATGCTGCTACGTGGTAGGCAAGTGTGTGCTGCACTCCTAGGCAAGTGTTGCTGAGGTTTAGTTGATGGGTGACTGTTGGCATCCTTTCCTGTGAACTTTTCCCCTGTGCTCATAGTGTTAACTGATGTTCTTGAGTTGCACTTTGCTGTTTTTTTCCATTTCAAACGCACTGCATTTTTTAGAGAATTCATTTTATTTTCTGGATGTAAATGGGTGTTCCTGACGTGCTTTTGGTTTACACGTCGCATATGAGCTCTGCAGCTGACTGAGTAAAAACTTGCAAAAGAAGTTAAGTTCTTTGAAACCGTGAATGATATTGATAGGTTTGGGAAGACTACAAAAGCTTTCTCCTGCCCAAATGGGAGCCTTGTTTTCAAAGCTGTCATCTAATAGTGAGCGGGACCTAAAGGAAAAAAGAGTTCAGAACCCTCAAATGCCAAGTTTGTGTCGTTTTAGACAATGTTTTTGCTTGACTCTCCTCCTGATGCCGGTTACTATGTCATATAAAACAAGTGAAATAATGGCCTAATTTCACATGCCTGGGTTTCATCTCTGCTACTAATCAGTGACTTTTACTGGTTGTTTTATGTTTCAACAGGAAATTGGAACTGAAATTCACCTTTTGAACACTGTAATTTTATTGTTTGACTGTTCAAGATACTTTCCTTTAACAGACAAAATTCAGATACAATCACACGGGAACACAGTTCTTTGAGATTAGAAAAACCAGACCTCTAAGTGGGTAAGTGTCTCTAGAAGTGGTCTAGTGCCCTCATCTCATATCATGCCAGCTGGATCACCTTGGGCTTTTAAGCACTGTAGCACCATTGGCATGAGAAGGTAATTTTCTCCATGTCACAGCTCCTCTGACAGGTCCAAAACTGTCTGTGTTGCTGCCTTTGCAAGGAGGGTCCCAGCTTGATGCCAGGTGGCACATTAACCCATTGAGGGCCAGGCTGTGGTAGGGCTGGTCTTGCTCAGCAGCTGCATGGGAGCTGCATAGCTGCAGGTCAAAGCTGAATGCATAGGTCTGGGAAAACTCTCAGTTCTTGCTTGTTGATGCTGGGCTGGGAGGACTGGGTTGTTTTAATGGAAGCTATATGGAGTCCTGATATTCTGGTTGTCCTGTAATACCCTTTGCTGATGGTAGGAAGAGATCAGCTATGCAAAATGCTGCTGGAATTTTGAAGTCTCTGACACAGTCCTTTCCCCTGGAGGGAGGACAGACAGTCCGTCCTGGTTGTGCATCTCCTGTTGTCACTCATCTTGCTGTTCTTTCCAACTGGTGGACTTGTGCTGGTTGGCGATCCATTGTGTACTGCAAGCATGATAGGACCCTGTAAACAAGGAGGTTAAGATGCAAAGTGATGTTGGCAGTGTTACGCTTTTATTTTAGGGTGATATTTAGATAAGCAGAATATAATTACTCCTGTAGACTGGCCTGTCTCTAGCTCTCCCTAGCCATCTGTTACTAATCTAATGGTCCATCACTGTGAATTCCATTTCCCATCCCAGTTCTGTGCTTCATGTTTTCATCTTGCTAACATCAATCTTTCCTGCTTCCTTTCTCTTTGTGATGTTCACTGCACTGTTGGAATTAGTTTAGAAGAATACTGGTGAATTCAATGATAGATGGGTTTGCAGAAGCTTAAACCAATTTTCAGGCCAGTCAGTCACTTTTAAGTTTGTTCCATTACTTTTATTCAAGGAAGTGAAGGATGAAAATGAATTGTGCTCAGCAATCACCACTTGAAAGGCTGGTGGTGTTCTGGGCTGGATGAAAGGCTTATGATGATGGTGCTCTTTCCTGGAAGGGAACCAACATAGTGCTCACAGCTGGCAATGTACCTGTGGCTTTGGATTCTCTGCTAGGTGGTTCAGTATTTCCTCTATTTACCTATCTTATTGTTTGCTTGGGAACTTGTGACTGGCTGACTTGTCCTGTTGCTGAATGGACTTCAGAACTCCTGCAGAGTTAAGGAAAGTGCCTCTGGATATGGTCCAAGCTCTTGGGGCAGCTGCTGCCAGCTCACTAGGCATAGTTGTCTGCTTCTGGTGTTCACTGGACTTGCAGTGTTAAGTCTGAGGCCTCTGTTGCTTTGATCCTTGACATGTTGGATGGAAATGCTAGGAGTAGCGGAGCGGTTAGGAGCACTTGTAGCTGCCCAGAACCTGCCATACTGCAGCAGGGCTTGAACACTTGCCTTGTCTTGGTTTCTCCAACTTTGAGAAGGGGAACAATGTGTTGACCATCCTGTAATGGTAAGAGGTAGCCCTAAAGTCTTTCATTTCCTTCATCTTAGGTGCATGGCTTCTCATACCAGCTGAGGATATCTTCTCTTGCAGTTGTCCTTGGTGATTTGTTCTCCAGCTGCCAGGCCAGACCTGAAAAATCACCAACACCTGCGAGTTTTTTGCTGGAAGGTGTGTTCCACTTTAGAATAGATGTGCTTTCGGTGTGGCAACAGGTGTCTTGTACTGAGGTGACAAGCTCTGCCCTGAGCAAGTTCTGTGGTATGAAAGGCCTTCCTTGTTGCAGGGCAAAGTATATTTGCAAGTTAATGAGGCAAGATGCTGAGCACCTCCAGTTGCCGCTGGCTCTTGGAAGCTGAGGCTGTTCCCAGAGCTGTAATTTATTGCTGCTAAACTTATTGCTTATTTCATAATATGAGGGCTCAAAGCTAATGCAAGTATGATGTGATCTTTGGCAGGCTCTCTTCAAGAGAGCAGTGGCCGGACACAAAGAAACTGAGCACTAGATGGAAATTGAATATTCATAAATTCATGTGGAAATGTCCTAAAGCATCTGGGGCATATTAATGAGTTTTTCTATTACGGAGAGAGGGCTAGATATTACAGAGATTTACCATTAGCATTAGTGTGATGCCTGGGAAAATAAAAATGCCTGGTTGCGCTTTGGGAGAAGCATAAATTATCTATAGGAACTTATAACATTAAGGGACACAGGCTTGCTAGAATTCAGTATTTACAATCTCTCTTAAGAAAAAGCCACTGGCAGCTATCAGCTTGCTTCTAGACTGCCAGACACCCCATGGATTTGTCTAGACTACAGATAACACTTGAAAATGCTAGATTTCTGTTAACGTAGCTGTGTGAGTTGGGGTGGCAGAGATGTGATCCTGCGAACTGTGTGGTGTTCCTGTTATACTGGCAAACCGTGTCTGGGAATGCATCTTACCTTGCATGGATTTGCTGTACTTGCACAAAATCCAGATTTACAGGTCTTGCTACATTCACCATAGGAGTACTTTGCTAGTAGAGTATACAGGTATCCTGACACGGGGTGGGCATCTAGTAATATCTGTGACTTCAATGCCAACAAACTTTTATTACTGGCTTTGCAAGGAGCAATAAACCGTCTGCAAGCTTCATTTTAGAATGCAGGCATGAACCACAATGAGGAGCAAATATCTTTGTCCTCCTCCACCAGGTGTCTAGGGAGGATGTAGATAGGTGTGGAATTGTGCTGTTCCTTCCAGTTAAGTGTCAGCTGATCAGTGGGACCTACGAATGAAGCAAAACCTGCTGTTTGTGTAGGTTCAGGGGGCTTTCAGAAATTACAGCTCAGAAGCTGCTCTGTGAAGGTGGAGAGACATTCAGTGACTGCAGATAGAAAGGGTAATCAATGGCAATAAAAGAGTGCGATAGAAGCAGTCACGTGGGAACAATGCAACCAAATAACAGGGAAGAGGGGGGATGAAAAATAATACTGTTTCAATACACCATGTTATTAAGGAACTCTGATGGGGCTCTAAAGAAAAATGGGCTCGTACCATTTCCAGACAATAGACTGCAGAAGGCATTTGACCATCTGCTTCCCTTTTGCACAAAGGGAGAATGTTACAGATACGGTGCTGTGGTCGGCATGTGGTAGAAGTGCTTTTGCCTTTGAAACAAACTGGTTTTAGAAAGATTCACGAGAGCAGGAGCTGCTCTGCTGTTTTATCTCCTTTTACTCATATTGGTGCCTTTTGCTTCTCTGTTGGCTTCACTGGGAAGAATAAAACTGCCAGGAGCCTTAGAAAAACTTGGGAGAGGGAGATTTTATGGACCTCGTACAAGTACAGGGGCCAGGGAAAGGACTTTGTGGAAAATGTGCTGGAAAAATCTCACTAAGGCACATTTTATTGAAGTCTGTAGGAGTCTTTCTGGTGAAGGTAATGTGCAACTTCTCCTACTAAGCATGGTCATTTCTGGAGTCACTCCAGTGTGATGTGTGCAAGCTGGTGAGATTCTCTGGTTTTGGGTATGCTAAAACTTTTGAACCTTTTTCTAACTTGTATATGATATTGGGTATCCTAGGGAAAAATCTGGGGGCAAAATAAATTTGTGTTTCCCCTGAGATTACTGCAGTTGCTGCCGTTTTTAACAGGCAGCATCCAAAAGATTCAAGATCATCTCCTCTGTGGGCCTTCTCTTACTGCAGAAAGCAAGGGAGAGAATCCAAGTGGGGTCCTGAAAGCATTGTAATTTGAGTCAGTGTACAAGGAAATATCACCATCTGCCAAGGACTAGATCTTGAGGGAGGAGCATGCAGCCCTGTCAGAGGCAGGAATGTTCACTGTGGTCTGGAATAGAGATCTGCCTGGCAGACAGTGGTGTAAATGCCACAAAGAGGGAGGCTGCGTGATGCTGATTTTTGACTGTACTGGTCTCTCCCAGGTTACTGGAAGAGATAGGCTGCCTCTGAACTCACTGGAGTCTGTGGAGAGGGTGGCTTTGGGCTAGCTCCCAGCTAACTATGATATAATATGGAAAACTACTGCTTTACATTATCATATAGGTGGAGTCTGTTCAGATAATTGGAAGGATTTAAAGAAAATCTTTTAAACAAACCCTCCTCAGGCAGGGAATCAAAATACTTGATTCTGGTTTTTAATTCTTTCCTCCTTCCTTAAATTAAATTGACAAGTTTAATGTTGTAGACTTTCTGGTCACAATTAACATCTGACACAGCATGGTAAGCTTTCAGGAGTGAAAGAAAATAGGGAAAGGACAAGTCAAAGAGCACTTGTAATTAGTTGCTTTCAAATGAGCTGGATGCTCTCTTAGAGAACTGAAAAATGATCTCCAAATCATGAATACTTCTGTTAGAGGGTGTGGGGAGGATGGTTGCTCTTGTTGGAAACTGAGGAGGGCAAAGATACAAGCCTTTTTAAAAAAAAAAAAAAAAAAAAAAAGAGAGAAAAGATAAGTCTAGGAACTATTTGAGTTTATCTGCAGCCTCAGGAAAAATTAGTATCTGGAACATAACAAGGTGGTAAGTGATAGGCAACATTAATTTAGTTTGGCATGGTTTGTTTATGATTTCCTTCCATAAGAGTGCAAGAGCTTTTGTCAATCAGGAAGAAGTTGTGGTTGTGATGATTCTTTGCTTTAGTCTGGCTTTTGACTGTCTCCAGATAAGTCAGGGACCTCTAGTCTAAATGAAACTCTTTTGACTAAGGACCCAACCTGGTAAAAAGCAGCATGTAGAAGGTGGTACTTAGCCAACTGTTTGCTCTTGCCTAGCAGAGTTTGTCAGGTGAGGTGTGCAATCTGTTTCAGGTAAATGTTTTTTCATTAATGGTATGGATAAGACTAATTGTTTGCTAATAAGTGTGCTTAGTGGTCCAGGCTGGACAAGGTGACAGGGCATTGCAAGGCAACATTGGGATTCAGAGTGATCTTGAAGGGTAAGAGAGAGCTGGGCTGAAACAAATGGTAGGTGTATGAGTAAGGGCCATTATAGAGAAGGGATTTGGGAATAGCCAGCTGTGGGAATACACAATGGAGAAAGGCTAGTTTTGCACAGAAGGAGCAGATCTCAAAAAGAAAGAAAAAAGAAATACTGGTGAGCTTAACAGGAAAAAAAAAACAACCTAACAGCACACTGGATTGGTTGCAAAAATATACTGAAAGTTGGGTTCAGAAGGAAATTGGTTTAATTGTGTTGTGGTGGTGGGCTCAGCTGAAAGACTATGAAATGTTAGTCAGTTGAAGAGAGTCCAAAAATAAAGCAACAAACATTGCTGAAGGTCTAGAAAATATGACCTAAGGGAAGATTTGGAGTGAGAGAATGATGGGGGCTAAAAAGAAAAGGGGGGAAAAAAAACCTGTCTGCTTTCTCTTGTTTACAGAAGAGAGGGTAGATTACAGCTTGTTGTGTATACAAACCTGAGTTGCAAGAGGAGACATAATGCATGATCTCCATCCTCGCTGTGGATATCAGAAATAAATTTTTATTTAAATTGCAGAAAAGGAAAGATTTGGTTTAAACATTAGGTGACCTTCTTAGATGCAAGGTTAAGTATAGGATAGATTAACTGGTGGGTTCCTGAGCCTTTGAGAAACCACTTATTAAAAGTAGGTTGGAAAATTATCTGTGAGGAGCAATTTAGTTTTGGCTTATGCCACCTTGGGCAGAGCTCTGGCTTGAGCGTTCTCCAAAGGCTCTGCTTCCAGTGCAGACATGGGGTTTAAGGCCACACTTCATCTCAAGCTTGTGAAAAGTGGAATGACTCTCTGGTAATTGAACTGGGGCCTGTGCATAGACCCCATGGTCTGTGTTGCTAATGCAGAGGAAAAGCAAACTGTTTGCAGAGTGTTCCCCAGGACTCTGGGATAGATGTGTGTGGCAACATAATCTGCCCTGTAGGTGCAGATGGTTGCCCATTCGCTGATCATCGGTGCCTCCTGACCAGCACTCCTCATGCACAGATCCTCTTGGTCTGGAGGCCATGGCTGTCTCTGAGCCACCGAGTCCTGGGTGGCCCACTGAGCACCAGCTGCAGCTCCCAGACCTGGGTCATTTGAGCAGGAGGTGGGACAGGAGGTCTTCCTGGGGTCTCCTGAGCCCAGCTACATAAAGTGAAGGGAGAGCTGCTACTAGCCTCAGAAGGGACAGCTGTGATCCCTGTGCACTAGTGGGGTATGTCTTTAAGCAAGAAAAATGGCTCTCCTGGGTGATTTAAATCTGTTTTAATAACCATACAGTGTCCTGGAGAGCTGCACTTCAGAACCAGTGCCTATATGGCTTGCAAACAGCCTATGTGTTAAAAACAACTTAGTGTGAGTGTTGCTGTGACGTGTAAGTTGGTAGTAATTTGGCTGCTCATTTAGGCCAATTACTTTTAAAGACTTCCCCTTTGGCTGTGGAGCCATTAATGTTATCTCCACGCTGACAACACCTTGAAATCATGACAGCAGTGAGCTTATAAAAGCAGGCGTTAGGAGACCTGATGCTGCATGTGGTGACAAGGCAGCTCCAGCACAGTTAGTGTGTTTACCTGCTGGCAGCAGGGTCAACGTTGGTGTGGACCTTAGGAGGAGATGCTGTCCCTGTCCTTTGGACTGTGTTGCACGCATACATTACACTAAGTGGCTTGAAGCTAAATAGTTTTACAACTTTTAGTCTCTGATAAACGTTCATAATCAACTGTGACCTTGTGGTTGTTTTGTTTTGTTTTTTCCCCTCCCTGAAGTTAGAAGATACGGAATTCAGTGGGTTGTCTTGTTTGTGGCTACCTCCCATACATCATCTGCATGTAATACTTCCCTGGATGAAAATGGGGCTTTGTAGCTGCTGCTGTTGCATCCAGCACTGAGGAGTCACTGTGGGGGATAAAGGGGCTCCATTGTGCACCCTTGCTGGAGCTGCTCCCTGCTTCCTGTAGTGGGGTTTCTGTGACTGGTTATGAGCATGTAGAAGGCAAGCTAACTCTAATTTGTCTTCTGTACTGCTGGCAGGGTGTAAAGAGCAAATGTTTACAAATGAAAAGACAATTTCTAACTTGGATAGATGGGACATGGAATGGCTGCGACAGGCTATAATAGTGGTGGAAGCTGTATTGCCATTTGCACTCAATACGAGGTTTAAAATGCATGAGGTAGGAGAATTAGAAAGTGGGAAAAACAAACCAAGGGTTTCAAACGCATATTTTCAACATCTTCTCTAATACAAATACTTTTATCATTTAATTTCCTGTTTCCTTAGAGATTGGTTTCCAAAGCTCTTCTCAGGGTAAGAATACAGATAGAGAAGACTTCAAAATAGAAGTCATCCTTTGGTTTGTTATTTAGCTTCCTTTTTTTTGGTGTGTCACCTGAATATGACTCTTCTGGCCTTTTTATTTCCTTTCAGTATTTATTTTCTTGAACTCTGGGATTTCAGGATCTGCCTGTGGAAGGGAGTGTAGGATATCTAGTGAGGTTGATGGTGTGATGTCAGTCTGGCACAACAGCTTTCTCAGCTAAGCTGAGATTAGGTTGCTTCTGTTTCATCAAAGTGGTGTTCCCACCACTTTGGGTGGGAGTCCAGATTGTAACTAAACTCTGTGAACTAAACTTCCAAAATCCTGAGCATGCACAGTTTCCTGCACTGAAGCAGGAAATCCTTTTTTTTTTTTTTTTTTTTTACAACTTTCCCAATCCACAGGAGGTGGGGAGCAGCAGCAAGAAGGATAGCTCAGCTTGCAGTGGTTTGAGGTAGAACTTTCTGCAGAGCGAATTTCATTAAAAAGGCATTAAATTCTTGTTTGCACCTACAGCTACAGGCTCACAGAGGTATTTGTAGCTTTCAGGGGACCATCACCTAACCATCTTCTCTCCCCTGTTTTTCCAGAGAAGAGCCAGGGTTAGTTTGAAAATAAGCTAAATTTTGTCCTGCTGTGGGAGCTCACATGATTGCCAGCTTTTGCAGCTAGCAGGGCTTTGTGTTACAGTCTGAACTGAGTCTCAGCAAGTTGCTGCAAGAGGCAGAGAGGACTGGATTCCCATCTTCAACCCTTCTTCAGAGTCTGGAAGGCACTGGGATACCAAACACCCCCTTTTTTAAAAAAAAAAATAATTGTTTTCAGTCATCCTTCAGGAGTCAACAGGGTTCTGGCGAGTTGCTGAAGAGAATCAAGGTCACCAATGCTTGCTGAGATAAGAACTGGATGCACCTGGCTCTTAGTGTACAAGAGGACCCTCTGATTCCTGTCAACTGCTCCAACTGAAAGGATTGAAAACCTTTTTGTTTCTCTCCTAGGTTAATGGAGACAGCAAAAGAAATGACCAGGGAGTCCTTACCTATCAAATGCCTTGAAGCAGTTATCCTGGGGATGTATCCTTTCATATGCCTGTGGCTTTTTCTACTTTTTTTCGTGCTGTTTAGTGTGTTGCCTTTCCTAGATGGTGTTTGAGATAGTCACAGCCAAAGGTGAGTGCCAGCAGCTCAGGGAACTGCTGTGGTATTGATCAACGAGTTGCCAAATCAAGTAGGTTTGTCGGTAGGAGCTTGGATGCTGTGTGCCCATCTCAAAAGTGCCACATTCCAGCCACATCGACTTTGTCTCCTGCTCTGGTAATCTGCATCATGTAAGGATCTGACCCAAAGTGCCCAGATAAATATCTGTCTACAGAATTCCTGTTTTCTTCATTAGTATTTCCCTGCTGGTTCCTGTTGGAGCATGGTAACACCTGAGAAATGCAGATTCTAGCCTGTTTGTCTAGTATTTACACAGCAAAGTCATGTTAGTTTTTGTGTCTCAGCCCACAGCTGTCCTTTGTGCAGAAACATTTTGCATTATAGTTAAGCATTTAAGCATAATGCTTGCTTCCTACTGAGTCTCTGAAAAAAACCCCAAGAATATTTTAATTTAGAAACTGACTTGCTTCTTGACCCTCTTGTGCTGTCACTGATAAATCAACCTGCATCATCCTAAAACACCAGAGGAGGGCAAGGCAGGGCTACAGAAATAATTGTATTCTGGGAGTGTCTTACCACAACCGATCAAGTTTGATTTAAAACAAAACCTCAACCCAAAATAAGCCCTGTAGCAAACCAGCCTCTGGCATCTCTTGGCAGCATTTTGCTTGCTGCTGCTGCCCCCTCTCGTGGGAGAAGGAGGCAGCAGAGCCTGGCAGGTAGTGCCCGGTGTTGGCTCATGAGTTGGGGTGGCTGCTGTGGGGTGGTAAGGGGACATGGGCTGAGCAAGCATGTGGTGTGCAAGACTTGATGCTGGATGTGGTCCCCCTGGTGCTAGGAGGTCTGTGGTGTGCACTGGGGGCTGCCTGTGCACCAGGGATGGGCTTCAGGTCCAAGTCTGACAGGTGGCTCTGGTGACTGGGGGTTTCTGTCCCCTGCAAATGCTGGCAGGGTGTGCATGAAGCTAGAGGGATGAGGGTCCAAGGCAATTGATGTCAGCAAGAGAATCAAACCAATGCCCTCCTGCAAACAGAATGATCCACTGATGTCGGTGGATCTGTTGTGCTTGTCCTTGTGTCAGGAGTGTGTCCCAAACTTATTTGGGGATGATCTGGGACATAATCCCCAGGTGGAGCTGATGCTGCTCTGCAGTGTCAGTGTGGCTTCTAGTTCTGTATTTCAAGCACTGAATATTTCAGGTATTAGACCAGCAGAGGGTGAACATATTAGTGGCATACAGAGGGTGATAACCTAAAAGTATTCTTGCTGATATAAAAGTTTTGACTCAGACTGTTTTACTTTGGAAAGAGGGTTTATTCTGCTTGCCTCAAACCTGACTTTTTTTTTTCCCCAGGATGTGGAAGCAAAATAGTATAAAGCTATGATTTATGCTGTTGGGTGTAATCTGAAATTTCTTCAGACTTTTAAGATTAGGATTAATCTTTCTCTCTGTAGATGTTACTTTAATTTTAATATTTTTTTTTTAAATTGAGATTACCTTCTGAAAAGGCTTAGGCAGGGGAGGATGTGGGACAAGCCAGTCTTCCCATGGCTTTTACTTGCTGTCTTGGAAGTCTGCTGTGTAAGAACTGGAGCTATCTGCTGGGGTGGTGTGGTCCAGTAAAAGATGCATTAACGTTTAAAAGATCCATGCAATACAAAACTTAAGGATTTTGCTTCAAGTGTGGGTACACAAAGTCTAGCAGTGGTGAGTGGATGGGCTGCCTGAATATGTGTGCTTTGGAAGTGGCCAATACATCCCATGTCCATGCAGAACCTCGTGGTGCTGTGCAGCCTGTGTGTCGTGTGGGCTTTTGGAAGGCAATGTGCACTTGCAGCCCAGAAAGCCAACTGTATCCTTGGCTGCATCAAAAGAGGCATGGCCAGCAGGTTGAGGGAGGTGATTTTCTTCCTCTTTCTGCACTCGTGAGACCTCACCTGGAGTACTGTGTCCAGTTCTGGGGCCCCCAACAGAAGAAGGACATCAAGTTCTTGGAGCGAGTCTGGAGGAGGGCCACAAAGATGATCAGAGGGCTGGAGCACCTCAGTTACAAGGCTGAGAGAGTTGGGGTTGTTCAGCCTGGAGAAGTGAAGGCTCTGGGGAGACCTTACAGCAGCCTTCCAGTACCTAAGGGGGCTACAGGAAAGCTGGGGAGAGACTTGTTACAAGGTCTTCTAGTAATAGGACATGGGGTAATGGATTAAAACTTAAAGAGGGGAGATTTAGGTTTGACATTAGGAAAAAAGTCTGTAGTGTGAGGTTGGTGAGACACTGGCACAGGTCGCCTGGAGGAGCTGTGGATGCCTCATCCCTGGAAGTGTTCAAGGCCAGGCTGGATGGGGCTTGGAGCAACCTGGTCTAGTGGTCCCTGCCCATGCGAGGGGGTTTGGAACTAGATTAATTTAAAGGTCCTTTCTGACTCAAACCATTCTATGCTTCTATGATCTTTGTAACAGCATGTCGGGAAGAGTGTGTGTTTTTCTCAGCCACGAGATTTTGATCATCTGTGTTGCCCTCTGGGTGGGAACATGGTGAGGCCAGCAGCTGCAACTTGCTTTTTGAGGTCAGGTGGTTACCAGGTAAGAGGTGTGCTTACAGTCTCTGGAGTGTCAAACCAACGTCTTCACGTGTGCCTGAGCTGAGCATCCCTCTGTGTGTGTGTGTTTGTGTTAACCTCTGGTCCCTTTGTCTCTGGAAATAAGGTACTGCTTGTAATTTGTGTGCTGGCAGGCTTTGCTGTGTTGCTTGGATACCAAGAAGAGCTCAGCCCGCTGCAGTGGGCCCTGGTGGGAGCCTTCATTCAAAGGCCGACTTGCGCAGAGCAGCTTAGCAAGATGTCATTTTAATTGAGCTGCTTGCTGGCTCGTGCAATTGCCTTTTACTGTATGACTGCTTATAAAATGCTTCTCTAATCCCTCTTGGTGCAGAATTAAGTTTTGCATAATTGCCTTCATACTAGATCTTGAAGCATTTTTATAGGGCATTGAGTTAAAATACTGGGATACCTTGTCTGCATGTACCAAGGGAGCAGCTGCTGTGAGATGACTGAAGGCTTGTACAAATCTCCCAATATTATTTTGCAGCAGTCTGCATGGCTCTTCTTCCCTGCATAACTGTCTGAACTGGCTTCTTATCTCCCTGCTTACATGGTCTACTCATCAGTGCCTGACCAGAGGCATTCCTCTTGCTGTTTCCCCCAGGGCATTTCTCAGTTCAGTTGTACATCAGCTGAGTAATGATGCATTCAGCCTATTCTTTCTGAGCAAGGATCAAAATGACTTGTGCTCAAGAAAGGGAGTAGTAAACTAAAAATTCCAAGGGAATTTTATCTGTGCTGTATTTTATTAAAATGTAGAGAGCAAAATTTGAGAGAGGGGGAGAGGAAGTGGCACAGTGCATCCATCCTCAGGGAGTCTCTCTGAGTGTGTCTGTGTTGGGTGAATATAACTCCTCTTGCCTGTGCCTCTCCCAGGTCATGTGAGGTGACAGTCAGACCATGCAGTGTATTAGACCTCCTGCCTGTCCAATATCATTACATGAGAAAGAGGAGAGCAGAAGTGCCTCAGGAGGGAGAAATAGTTGAATAGCTTCTGTCCTGTGCCTGCTGTGCATTTAATCAGTGGATTATGTTTATTACTGCTGGAGATCTGGGCCCACCCTGCTCTTCCTGCTTAGCAGTGACATCCTTGGGCTTAGAGTGAGTGTTTTCAGTAGTGGAGAGTTTCTTGCTGCAGTCATTGCAGGGTACTGTTGTCCCTGAGGTGCCTCTTCTTGCCTCCTGTATGCTTGTCCACAGCTTGACCTACTTTGTGACTGAAATGTGGGCAAGGAGGGTCCTGCTGAGTATCTGCACCCCCTCTGGTAGCCTGGAAGAGCTGGGAGAGAACTTTTAATTGCTTCAGTTGTCACAGTCTAATCTTACACTAGTCACCTCAGACTGCAGCTGGGCACTGGAGAGCAAAACAAGCAATGCCTGGCAGTCCTGCTTTGGGAGGCTGAGCCAGCTGCTGGAGCTGTTCCTTTGTGTGCCCTGGAGTTGCTGAGGGAAACCTGAGCCCTCTATGCAGATGACATCCAGATGTGGGCTCGGTAGTACTCTGCCTCACAGTAAGCAATCCCAGTTCTAGGATGTTGGCTCTTCTGGAGCCTGTGGGAAATGCCATCTGACTCTAGGCTGTGGTTGGAAACTTCTCTGAGTGTTTACTGCTGGCAGTTGGAGGCCCTCTAACAGCATGAGCAATTGCTCAGAAAAATAGCTTTTTTGTTTTCATGAAGCCTTCTCTGGCCATTTTGAAGTGAGAGGTTTATTTTCCTCCTGCTCCACCTCCTCACTCTGTGCTAGTGCTTTCAGCATTGCAAGTGTAAATAAAGCTGTCTCCTCATTCCTCTCAGCCTGCTCTTGTCTCCTCCAGCTTGGTCATGCCCTGTGGCACAGCTTGTTGTGATGGCTTGGGATGCTTGCTTGTGCTTCCCGAGCCCTTGTGAGTGGCAGGAGAGGAGGGGACCAGAAACCCCATGGCTTTCTGTGCTCACCTTGACCAGACTCCAGCAGAAAAAGTCCTTGCTGGGCTCCAAGACAAGAAGCACTGTAATGTTGTCCTGTCTGAGTAAAATAAGGGAGAAATTAAAACTAACATATAACAAATTGATTAGCACAAATGATGCAGTGGGCACTTGTTTGCTCAATATCAGGTTCATCTATTTTCAGTATTTTGTCTCTGCTTTGCAAGGCAAAGTGGGACTTGTAGTGGAGACAACAGAACGTGTCATTTATGATGCTGGGTCTTCTTGCAGCTGGAGGAGAAGCATCTGCCAGTCTGGACAATGTCCAGAATTTCTTGGTTTGTTTCAAACTGCAGGGCTTTGCTGTACTGACTTGTGTTTGGACTTTGCTCCTTTGGGGCTCTGAGGAGGA